AAGAGGGGAGATTCTCGAGTCACCTTCCTTATTGTTTATGTTGATGATATTGTTGTTATTGGTTGTGACACAAAGGAAGTTTAGGCACTCAAGATTCAGAGTTTGAGATTAAGGATTTAGGGGAGTTAAGATATTTCTTGGAGATTGAAGTTGTCAGGTCTAAAGATGGCATCTTCATCTCCCAAAGGAAATATATGTTGGATCTTTTCACTAAGATTGGGAAACTTGGTGCCAAACCTGCCCCTACTCCTATTGATGCAAACCATAAGCTTTCAACCAATGATTGTGAGCTCTTGGCAGACAAGGGAGTGTTCCAGAGACTTTTGGGGAAGTTGCTATTATCTTTGTATGACATAATTGGACATTTCATATGCTATCAGTGTGATTAGTTAGTTTATGCATGCCACCAGAGACGTACATATACTACAATAGAGAGGGTTTTACGTTACTTAAAGGGAACTCCAGGAAAAGGCATCTCCCATGGGTTGGTAGTATAACCGATAGAAGAAGCAGTTTGTGGTAGCTAGATCTTCAATTGAGGTAGAGTATAGGGCTATCTCCCATGGGTTTCAAAGTTGTTATGGCTGAGCGATATAGTCATGGGCACATACTTATAAAAAAAAGGTGTAGTCATGGACACACAAAGCAGAAAATAGTGTAGTGATTCACTTGCAAAGAAAGGGGTGAGTTCACTAAACAAGAAAGAGGGGCTAGGTAGCAGTAGCTAGCCTGACTAAACAGTAGTTAATCATTGTACTAATATTCTTTTAACATAATTAATAAAGATCACTGTTTCCAATAAAGAATCACTTTGTGTCTAGTCATCCTCCAGAGATCACCTAGGTTTTTGGGCCCAAGAGGTGGCTTGAGAGACAGATTTGAAAAAAACCAATTAGCTCGACAGTTTTGTGAGTCAAAAAATTTGATCCATTTTCTCTTTTTTCTAACATTTTTTTATCAATTCTTTTTCTTCCACTTTTCTTCTCCATGGTCTACATAAAAAAGGTAAAAGAAAAATCTTATAATACCCATATTAAAAGGAGTTGCCAAATATATTTTGATCAAATGCCCTTTTGTCTAATCAAATCCATTAATTCCTTTTATATCCTTTTTCATGTCCATTGAACCTTAAAATTTTTTGGTCTTCCCTTTATTTGAACCAGACATATTAATGCCTTTTATGACTTTTGAACCTTGTATGTGCCTTACATGCATTGGATCTCTAGAGTATTTCTTAAAGCCTATAAGCTCTACTGGTTGTAACATTGCAGGTTCAAGTCCTATATACCCATTTGAACATCAAAATCAAGGTTAATTCATCAAAACATAACAAACATCCAAGTGAAATCTACCTAGATTCAAGTGAGGTGCATCCATAAAATGAGTTTCTCCTGTGAGGCACGCCTTTTGAAATATTTCCATTAGCTAGAGAAATTTCCTTAAGAAGGATTTTTTTTTTTTTGATCAATAACAATTTCATTAATTCAACATAAGAATAATTACAAAGAGGAAGACAAACTTTCTTATCTTCCAATTACAACTTGAGCCCCCAAGAAAAGAAAAGAAAAAAAAGAAACAATAAAATTACATCTGAGCCCAAAACATTGATTCCCTCTCCACCCCTTGTTTAGCTAATCCATTAGCAAAAGAATTAGCTGATCTTTTAACCCAACTAATCTTAACTTCCATCTCTCGCACCAGCCACTTAAATTTCCTCCTCACATTGCTGTAATTCCATAAGCCACTGTTGTCTTTATTCAGCCACCCTACCACCACCTCCGAGTTCCCTTCAATTATGAGTTTTTTGATATTCATCTCCCTAGCTTTTTGGACTCCTTCCATAGCTGCATAGATATCAGCTCTAAGGGAGTCACCCACTCCAATTGGGCCTAAGAACAAGGTAGAAACAACCCCATTCTCATCCCTAAAATCACCCCCACTCCCTTAGTGTCCAGGATTCCCCCTACTACTCCCATCAAAGTTTAGTTTTAAGAATCCAGCAGGTGGGGGGGGTCCCAGACACACTCATTACTGTTTTGATCTGGGTATAGTTTGCAATCTCACCCCACTTCCTCAACATGTCATCCACTGTGTAATCTGTGAATAGCTCTAGGGATTTCAGCCACTGCACAACCCTTATATGGATTAGAGCCCTCAGTTCTTCAGCACCTCTCTCTACTTTTGAGAAAATCCTGGAATTTCTTTTTTCCCATAATGACCAGCATACTGCAGCCCTCAGTCCTCTCCACATAGTCCTTCCCCTTTTCATACGCCACCTGAAAAAAGAAGGGGAGAATAGACTTTGCAAATCTGATGGAGGGTTCCAACTACACCCAAAGAGGGAGAAAGCCCACTCCCAAATTGACTTTGCAAATTGGCAAGACACCAGTAGGTGAAAACTAGTCTCCCCATTAGCTTTGCATAGACACACCAGTGAGGTGACAAACAAATATTGGGTCTCTTCTTTTGGAGTAGATCACCAGTGTTGAATCTTTCCAGATAGGCTTCCTAGCAAAAACTACCAACCCTAGGAGGAATTGGTCTGCACCAAACCTCATTAACAGGGAAAGGGAGGGCTACAAGATTGGTGGACTGGCTTAAAACTTTGAAGAAAGAAGCACATGAGAATGAGCCAGTGGGGGTGGGGGTCCAAATTGTAGAGTCCACCTTAGTAGGGTGTAAGAAAATATTATCAAGAAGTTCAAGGAGATTCGAAATACTGTCGAGGTCTGAGTCCCTCACAACCCTTCTTAAACCCAAATTCCACCCAAGCCCAGAACTGGAAGAGGAAGGGGTAATGAAAGAAGAAACAGGCTCATTTTTAAAATCAGATAGGGCATACAAAGAGGGAAACTGGTCCTTTAGGGGGGCATTCCCCACCCAAGTTTGTTCCCAAAATTTTATGGAGTTACCTAAATTCAAATCGTACATGATAAGAGGGGAGAAGACTGACAACAAATCATGAATGGCTTTCCAAGGTGAAACACTTGTAGTCCTGGCTCGGATTCCAGCATTTCATCCATTTTGCTCCAACCCATGTATGCTTGCCACTATTCTAGCCCATAGTTTCTCCTGCTCCAATGGGAACCTCCACAACCACTTCCCCAGAAGGGCCATATTCCTTTTTCTAATGTTCCCAAGCCCCAAACCACTACAATTTTTACTCTTAGTCACCACCTCCCAACTTACTCTATGGTCCCTCTTCTCCTCTCTCGACTCCCAAAGGAAATCTCTCATCATCTTTTCCAATCTACTAGAAACCTTTATTGGGATTTTGAAAACTGACAGGAAATAAATGGGTAAATTTACTAGAGTGGCCTTAATCAGTGTAGTCCTCCCATCAAGAGAAAGGTAATTCTTTTTCCAAGAGACAAGTCTCTTTTCAAATCTTTCCACCACTAGGTTCCAGAAGCTCTCTCTTGGGGTTATCACCTAATGGAAACCCTAGATAATTCAGTGGCTAGCCTGAGACTTCTAGCACTTCTACACTCTCCCTAATCTCTCCCTCCAATTTCACACCCACTACACAACTTTTTCCCCAAAGTTCACCTTCAAGTTTGAAATTTGTTCAAAGAGTTGTATCACCAATTTCAAGTTCTTGATGAATCTCACATTACCTCCTTCACAGAACAGAATTGTGTCATCAGCAAACTATAAGTGGGTGAGGGGGGTTTCCTCCCTTCCAACTCTCCAACCTCTAATGAGGCCCGTAGAGTCTGCTCTGTGAATCAATTTCCCTAAAACATCAGCAATTACAATTCCAAACACACCGCATAATCCATTTGCACCATCTAGCCCCAAACCCAAATTTGGTCATAACTTTCTTAAAAAATTCACAGTCCACCAAGTCATAAGCCTTTTCTAGATCCAACTTACAAACCACTCCATTCTTTCCGTCCTTCCTGAAATTCTCCACACTCATTAGCAATTAGGATTTGATTAGTAATTTGTCTTCCACTCACAAAAGCTCCTTGATTTGGTGCAATGATATATGGCAGTACTTCCTTCAATCTCAAAGACAATACCTTTGCAATAATCTTGTACAGGCTATTTACCAAACTGATTGGCCTGAAATTCCTTGGATGGGATGCAGCTTTCTTTTTTGGAACCAAAGCTAAAAAAGTGGAATTAACACCTGGGTTAACAAGTCCTCTCCTATGAAACTCCTTAAACACCAACAAAAGGTCATCTTTCAAAATATCCCAACAGTCTTGATGAAAAGCCATTTTGAACCCATCCGGCCCTGGAGCTTTTGTTCTATCCATAGAAAACACAACCTCCTTAATCTCTTCCAAATCAAACCTTCTTTCCAACCTTCTCTTGTTATCCACCCCTACATCTGGCCAGTCCATTCCTTCTACCCACACCCCTATACTTACAGACCTTCTTAGAATGGATTTAAAGTGTTCTACAAATGTCCCAACTATCTCCTCTTGTTGTGTTAACTCAATTCCATCCGCTTCCAATTTGGAAATAAAATTTCTCCTTCTCCTTCCATTTGCCAAAGAATGAAAAAACCTGATATTTCTCTCTCCCTCTTGCAACCATTTACATCGAGGTTTTTGCCTCCAGCTTATTTCCTCCTTATGTAGGCAGTCCTCTAGCTGTCTTCTCAAACCTCTTCTTTGTTCCTTGTCTGCCTCTCCAAATTCTCCCCTTTCTTCTTTAGAGTCAAGGTTCTCAAATTGGTCCATCAGAGCTCTCTTTCTTTCTTCTAACCTCCCAAACTCCAATTGATTCCACTCCTTGACCCTTGCTTTAAAAAATTGTAGTTTTTTATGAAACCTCATCCCCTCCCATTCCACCATTGGATTACACTAGAATATAGGGTTTGCATATTTTACTTTTCAAATCTTTTCAATATGCTGTATGCATAAGCTTTTTTTACTTGTGGATACAGTCTCAATCCCTGATTCATGATATCCCAACTTTGATTTCCCTAAATTTTTGTTTCCTTGAAGTTGATTGTTGGTGTCAGAATGTTACTCTTTCTCTGTCAGGTTGCAAGCTTTGGTGCTGCACTGATGGACTTTAACATCTTGACAATGTCAATAGCACCGAGAGATATCCATGAAGCTCAGGTACAGTTTGCACTGGAAAGAGGGTTACCAGCCATGATAGGTGTATTAAGCACCTATAGGCTGCCATTCCCAGCGAGGTCCTTTGATATGGTTCATTGTTCAAGATGCCTAGTACAATGGACTGGCTATGGTAAATATGAAACTCTTTGATTGAGAATGGAATATATGCTAGAAACTCATATGCTGACAATTAATTCTTTTATTAAATAATTAGATGGGCAGTATTTGATGGAAATTGATCGGATCTTACGTCCTGGTGGTTATTGGGTATTGTCTGGACCACCTATCAATTGGAAGGTCAACTACAAGGGTTGGCGGAGGCTGCCTCAGGACTTGGAAGAAGAGCAGGCTAGCTTGGAGGATCTTGCAAGGCGATTATGTTGGAAGAAGATTGCAGAACGGGGTCCAATTGCAGTATGGAGAAAACCTTCTAATCATGTTCACTGCACACAAAAGTTAAAGGCATGGAAGTCTCTACGTTTTTGTGGTAGTGATCCTGACGCTGGTTGGTGAGTCTTCACTTGTTTGCCTCTTTAACTTTTTTTTAGTCTACTCATTTTGAAATTCAGTAAATTTTCCTCCCGTCAGGCAATGAAGTGTGTTTTGTGACTTTTTGGTGCCTATTATACTTTTGACTTTATGGTGTCTCCATTGAACATGCTGAATATATGCAAGAGGTTCAGGTTATCCAATTTGGCACTTGATCAAAATCTATGGCCCTCAACCATATTGGATAACTCTTTAAGCCGCTTTAGTTTCCTTTTTTCACTGGGCAGTGGTTATTATTACCTGCTGTTTGATCCCCAGACCTTTGGGTGCAAACCCTTCAAAACTTCACTAACTAGCCAAATTGCATCTTCTACGATAAATCTCGTTTAGTCATGTTTTTTTTTTTTTTTCTTTTTATCAATTTCTCCTTCCCTTTTGACTTAGTAAATGAATTGAATGTTTTAATGATAGGGATATTTTCTTTTTAGGAGATATTCTTTAAGATTTTCTCCATTGGATGATTTGCTTTGACTGCTTTTTTTATTGTAAAAGAAAAAAAATTATTAAAGAAGACTGATTACAACCACTTAACAGGTTTTAAGAAAACACCTCACAAAGAAGAAAACACTGTCTTTTAGATCTAACCATTCACTTCACTGGAATGGATCCACTTTTGATGGTCTGGGTTTTAAGTCTACAATGCCTTTTTATCATGTAAATCTTTTCCTGATAGAGGCTGAAACAGGTACAAGAAGATGGAGACATGCATTACTCCTCTCCCTAAGGTGAGAGATATCACAGATATATCTGGAGGTGCTCTGGAGAAATGGCCTAAACGGTTGACTGCAGCTCCACCAAGGATCAGAGATGGGACCATTGGAGGAACTACTGTTAGGAACTTTGATCAAGATAATCAGTTATGGAATCATCGAGTGTCCTACTATGGGATTATTCTTAAATCTCTCCCCATGGGTAAGTATAGAAACATAATGGACATGAATGCTGGCTTTGGGGGTTTTGCCTGTGCACTGTCCCAATATCCAGTTTGGGTTATGAACGTGGTTCCATTCGATGCAAAGAACAATACTCTTGGTGTCATCTATGACCGTGGCCTCATTGGGACTTACATGAACTGGTATGCCTTCAAAGCTGTAACTACAGCAGTATCTGATTGAAAAATTGGATATTTGATTGTTAGCAAACTAAAATAGAAACATTGCTATGTCTATAATAAGGGCAAAGATTTTATAATCAGGCTAAGTAATGAACTGTGCTAAAACACTATACCTGTTTTTGCCACAGTGAAGATCTCTGTGATGAATCTGAACTGTGCACCAGATAGGTGATCCTCTGAATCAGCTGCGTCAAACTCCCAGTCCACTTCATCCATATACTTGACATTGTATTCTAGTTTTCCTTGGTGTCATAGTTATAAAATTTTAGTTTAAATAATAGCTTCAAAGAAGTGTTTGTTTTGGGAAGTGGCAGGGTTTGTCTTGAAATGTGCCCCATGAATAAAGGGCAGTAAGAGTAACATGGAGGGCCCTTTTGTGTCCCCCAAACACATTGACACATGGAAGTTTCTGTGTCATTTAGATTCCCTTGCTAAATGACACAATTAGCAGACCCATCTCCTTACCTTAAACCTATTTCTGCATTACAAAATTATTCAAAACTGGTCCTGGCAGTACATGATTGAGATCAATTTTTTATTTGAAATCAAGAAAATGCCAAACAGTTAGGTCTTTATCCAGTCCACCCCTCCCAAGATTCCAAATAACTGGGACCAACATTGTGTAATGGTCTTTTTTATGAGATTTTTCCTGATAAATATTTCAAACTAAAAGGTTTAAGGAGAAACATGGGAACTTTAATATGACGTTGGGAAATGCATGAGATTGATAGCATGGTGCTTTTTCCTTGCAGGTGTGAGGCATTCTCAACATACCCCCGCACATATGACTTGATACATGCATCTGGGGTTCTCAGTATGTACATGGACAAGTAAGTTGTCTGGATCATTTCATTTTCTCAAGAAACCGATAGCACATATACAGGTTATCAAACCCAACTCATCCATACAAACAACTAAGTCTTCATTCAATCTTTGAATTATACTCCTGCTTGTTTTTTTTTTTTTTTTTTTTTGATCAATAACTGAATGAGGTTCATTAAATAAAAATCAAGAAATTACAAAGAGAGGAGGGGAGATAAACTTTCTTAGCCCTTCTGCCCACCCCTTGCTTGGCCAAAACACCAGCCAAACAATTAGCATCTCTCTTAGTCCAATGCAGCTGAATTTCCATGCCTTGAGTTAGGAACCTGAATTTCCTTTTTTCATTCATGTAGTGCCACCAGCCCGTTTCCTCCTCCTTTTGAAGCCATCCAATAACGAGTTTTGTGTCCCCTTCAATTATTAGCTTGGGAATATTTAATTCTTTGGCCTTCTGAACTCCTTCCATTACAGCATAGATTTCAGCTCTCAATGAATCACCCACTCCAATAGGGCCTGAGAAAAGAGCCCTAATGAAACCATCATCATCTCTGAAAACACCTCCAATACCTGAAGGTCCTGGATTACCCTCACTACTACCGTCAAAATTCAGCTTGAAAAATAAAACACTTCCATTAGATGACTTTGCCCATTGTTTAATGAAATTGATTGGAATTCCTGTCTATTTTCATCTATATCTGTACTACTATAAAAAGTAAAAATGGCCTGACATTGTATCTGGAATTTTAATTTGACATAAAATGCCCTCCTATCTTCCTGTTAACTACACATTAAAAAGGGTAAAAATGTTTTTTCAAAATCTATATTTAATACATTGTGTTAAAAGACATTAAAAGACGAACACTTCCCTATGCATTAATAAGTTGCTACCCATTAATGCAATTGAAGTGAAATTTATACTATTATTAAAAGTGAGAATGAGAGTGTGAAACTTTTGCTTGCCTAAAATACCACAATTTTTTGAATTTGGTCCCTCTTTAATTGTAAGGACAGAAATGTAATTTGAATAACCACTTTCTCCTCATTCAAATCCCTCTCATTAAATCTTATATTTAAGGTATTAATTCTGATTATTATTCATTTGACTCCTACTCTTGATCAGAATACTCCTATTTTTGAATTTGGTCCCTCTCTAATTGTGAGGGCACAAAATGTATTTTGAACTATTACATTTCTCCTCGTTCAATTTCCTCTCATTAAGTCTTACATGTAGGGTATTAACTCCCGTTCTCTCATTGAATCCTATACTTAAAACTGTTTTTCCACCAATAAATTCTATCAATTAGATCTATATCCAATACTTTTAACGATATAAAATACATGCATTTTTAAAATTGACTAGAAAATGGAATCGTTCTTCCATCCTTGTGGCAAGTAAGCAATTTAACCATTAAGGTAAAATGGGTCATCCGTGATGTCATAGATGTGATTCAGTCCTGTAAAATCAAAATAGAAACCTGGAAAAACTAAACAGAAATAGAGAAGAGAGGAGAAACAGTGGAAGAGGAAGAAGAAAAGAAGAAAAGAATGAAGAAGGGAGAAGAAGAAGAGAGTTCAATCAGATATTTCTATTCTCCTAATCCGTTTTATTAAAACTAATAATTATGGATCAATTACAATCTTGCCCTTAATGGGGCGGCCAGCTATTACAAAAAATAAAAATATAGAAAAACTGGGCACATTCTAATTGGTTCCCTGGAAACATAAGGGTCTGTTTAGTTCTTAATGACGTTGGAATGAAATCTAAGGGTCCATTAATAATAATTAAGTACAAATAAAATATTAATATATAATTAAAGTTACAATAAAATACTAACATATTAATTATTAAATATTAATAAATTATGTTTAAAACAACAAAACAAAAACAATAGAACATTAATAAACTAATAATAGAACATAATAAAATAATAAGTTATTAATAAAATAATAATAACAAAGTACTAATAAAATAATATTTATATATTCATAAAATATTAATAAAATAATAAATAGGCTGATATAAAATTGAAAAAAATTTAGTTGATTTTGATTCCAACTCCAATTGAACCAAACAACAATGATCGAAATCTGATTCTGATTCCTATAAGAACTAAATAGGCATTGGGAATAGGCGATTCCAATTTCGATTCTAGGGGATTCCGATTTTGATTCCAATTCCAATCCTGATTGCGAACCAAATGGACCCTAAATTTAAAGCTAATCTATGGTGGTGGGTCAACAATTCAACATTTTGAGTCAAACGTGTCAACCCTTGAAGGAAGTTGGAGTGACTTTCAAATGGGCAAGGAGATCAGCAAATTTTGTGGCAGATAGCTTGGCAAAACAGGGGACCTTCAGGGAAAACTTTTTTTGGGCTGTACTGTAATTTTTGATGTCATGTTTGGGGTCAACACTCTTTGTTTTTAGTGGCTGACAGTACAAGATGTAATTTGGTATCCTTAATGAAAGTCACCGTTTCCAATAAAAAAAAGTGTCAACCCTTGATATCATAATTAAATAAAAATTTAAAAATATAAAAAAACACAACAACCTTATTTAATAATATTGAAATTTATAAAAACCATTTAGGAATTTATCTAATATTTTATATTAATCATATCAAATAAAAATAAGTGTGATAAATAATAGTCGTTTTTATTAATTATCAAAAAATAATAATAGTTGTTTTTATTGATGTTGGAAATAAAATATAAAATTTAAAACTGACCCAAAATGAAATTATTTCCCTCGTGGCGGATCAACAGTTCAACCTTTCGGGTTATATGTGTCAACCCTTGATCTCATAATTAAATATCAAATATTTAAAAAATCATAGAAATACAAAAATATGAAAAATATAAAAATTCTATTGAAAACATTTGGACACATCTCTAATATTTTATATTGATCATATGAAAAATTAAACACGATAAACAAAATTGTTTTTAACTTTTTATTGATGATGGAAATAAAATACAAAATTTAAAACTAACCCAACAGTGATATTATTTTCCCATTTAGTGGTAGATCAACAATTCACCCTTTCAGGTTAAATGTGCCAACCTGTGATGTCATAATTAAATATAAAAAATATAAAAACACAAAAGCACAAAAATATATAAATTATGTAGAAAACCATTGTTCATATCTCTAATATTTTATATTAATTAAAAATATTAAAGAAAAATATGAGTGACAAAGAATAATTGTTTTGTCTTTTAATAGACTTTTCATTTCTTTCTCAAAAAAAAAATATAATTGTTTTTATTGATGATGGAAATATGGCGCAATTTAGAAAGAGTACAAATACAACTATTTACTGTACAAAGCTTTTTATTTTGTATTTCTAAACCTGTATTTGTACTGTACATATTTGTATTTGTACTCTTTCCAAACTGAGCCTAAAATACAAATTTAAAACCAACCCAAAAATGGAGTTGTTTTCGTGTTTGGTGGTGAGTCAACTATTCAACTTTTCAGGTCAAATGTGTCAACTCTTGATGTCATAACTAAATAATAAAAATTAAAAAAGATGAAAACACAAAAAGTATTAAAAATACAAAAAATGGTAGAAAAATTTGGGCACATCTTGAATATTGTATATTTATCATATTAAACAAAAATATGTGTGACAAATAAGAATAATTTTTATAAACATAGAAATATAAAATAATTGTTGAAATTTTTGGAAACAATTTATTTACTATCATCATCATCATCAAAAATTGTCACGTGCAAAGCACGCGCACACTTACTAGTTGGATTAAAGGTAGAACAATTGTTGCAATTGATAAGAGGAATGCACATTATGGATATAAATATCTAATATAAGTGTGTTAATTTGGAAAACTGAAAAATGGGCTACATTACATTCACGGTTAATATGATCAATATCACAAAGTGTACAGGAAAGACAATTTTAAGATATGTATCAGGATATGCCTAGGAAACGACATGGATATGGTGGAACAGTTAGGATATAAATCCAAGAAATGCATCAATAACACCAAGTCTAAGTCTCAAATGATCAGAAATAAAGTATAAACACATAACAAACACATGCTTTTAATGTTTATATTAAATTTGAAAATGGTAAAATCTCGGGATGGCAAGCGCTGGAATGCTGGTTCAAGTCTGAGAACGGCTACTTTGTGCAAAAAAATGCCAAAGATCTAAAGGTTAGGACTGTATCCAATCTATCCCAAGACCCCATATATCTGGGGCCAACATTAGGTAATGGCCTTTTTTGTATACCTTAAGGAAACCAAAAATAAATTCTCATTAATTCTTAAAATACTAATTTTACTAATCGATTAATTGTTTTCTTTCTATTTTAATTTTCTGGTAATGGTAATAACCAGAGAAAGTTCATAAAAGGTGGCTTAAACTTCTAAAGCTTTAAAACCAATGTTATCTTAATGTGATTTTTAGCATGGTATAGTGGCAAAAGACTCTTGTCTGTCACCTAGGTGACCAGGGTTCAATTCTTGGCAATGATAATAATTCTTGAGTCTGACTATGATACTGGAAAGGCATTATACCTACAAGGCCGATAACCAACCAATAAGAGTTAATAAGTTGAATAGGTTTTAAATACATAATTAATAAGAGTTAATATGTTTTAAATGCAGGGGGTGGGAAATGCATTAGCCTTTACACCCATGATTGATACTTTGCATTTTTGATATAATACGCCCTTTATCAGCCATATCATATTGATACTTTGAACCATGATTGCATTTTTCTTGATAGCCCATAGCTGATTATGTTAATTGTCAAACTCAGATACATAGAAGGTTTTTTTTTTTTTTTTTGATGAATGACTGTAAATTTTATTAAATAGAAACAGAAAAGGTACAAACACCCTAAGAGGAGGCACGAGGTGTTGCCTTGCCTCAAGGATGGATCAATCCCAACTCTTTTTCCAGATTACAATTACAAAGTATCCCAAAACAAAGAATCCCTTGAAGCCCCTTGTTTAGCTAGAGAGTTTGCCATAGTATTGGCT